GAAGCGGAGTTGAGGGGGAGCTGGGAGGGATTATTACAGGCGCTGGCAGTGGCGATGCTGTCAAGGAGCCTGTGTCAGCACTTCCATTACCACCCACCTGGCTTCAGCACACCCCCAAAGCACTGTGCGGGGCCGCGGGGCCCCAGCATGGGGTCATTTCTATTCAGAAGAGTTTCAGATCAACTGGCTTTGATTGGGTTTAAATGATGGAGTGTTTAAGAGGGAGAGAGAGGAAATAGGAGGGTGAGATGGAGGGAGGCATCTTGGAGGAGGGGGAGTTTGATACTCAGACAAGTGGAAAACAGTTTGAGATGGGAGAAATTGGGAGTTGGAAGAGAAGAGCTGGTTCTCCCAGGGGCAAGTTGCAGATGGCCGCGAGGAAAGACAGCACGGGGAGAAGACCTGAAACCTGGGCAGATGCCCCAGGGTCTGCCCAGCAGAGGGTTGTTAGGAAAGAGCGAATGCATCCCCAGCAGGGACCGTGCCCCCATCAGGGCTCCCTCCCCGCTGCCACCGCCTGTGCCACCCGCGGTGGCAGTCCCTGGAGAGGCACTCACTGGCTGTGCAGTAAGCCATCAGTGGAGCCGAGCAATTGAATTATAAACAATTTATTTCATTCATTTGGCAACTCACTGAGCTCTTGGGCAGAGTGAGCCCTCACACCTTGTAAACTTTGCTCATTCAGAGTGACGTGGGAGCATCGTTTACTCCATGCTACGTAGTGATGAGGGGCTGTATACATCACATTCTGTCATGGCTGTTGGCAGGCTGGGTCCCTTTTTTTTCTCAATTAAAAGTTCTCCAAAACAGAATTTCCCATTCTCCTTGTGAGGGGAAAGCTCTCCCTTCCAAGTGACCAAGTCCTGGCCTGCAAACGCCTTGAGGTGCTGTCAGCCCTCCATTCTGGGGCACAGACACAGGGTGGGAGTGGGGATGGTTTCGTGCCTTCATGCGTGTTCAGTGCCGTGGTTGCATCCCCCGGTACCTGAATCCGGCTCCCAGCCCAGAGTCCAGATCCCATTAGCAGTTGCTTCATGGGGAATCAGGCCGGGCTCAGACAGCTCAGGGGAATTATGCTGGATCCATATCAGTGTAACTGAGGGCAAGATCTGGCCCTCGATCCCCAGCAGGATCAGGAGGGTTCAGTTTGGTCCCTGCTCGGGCTGGGATCCGTTTGCAGAAGCCCTCTGACAGAGCCCGTGGACAAATTCCTCCACGCAGGGGTGCGTCTGCGCATCGAGCCCTCTGCTTTCAGAGCAGGAAATATTCAGTTTCAACACTTGGAGTTAAACATTTCCGCGGAGCCCAGGAGACCATGCAAACAGCGGGAGCACCAAGGCTCTGCCTTTTCATCTCTCTGGCACTGGCAAGCGGGGTCGGCAGCAGGGGAAGCACGGCAGAGCTGAGGAGGGTAAACACTGGAGCTGAGCCTACCGAGTAACCAGAGAGCGAAGGGGAGAGAGAGGGGCAAAGAAAACAAAAACACAGCTGCCAAAAAACAAAAGCCTGAAAAGAGCCATTCAGGGTCTCCCAGGAGCGGGTTTGGCACAGGGCAGGGAGGGAAGAGCGGGGAGCAGTCGCTGCTGGGGCAGGCGTGGTTCCAGCCCGCTTGGGGATATGAACCCTTTGTTTTGCCCTGGGCAAATCAATGCCCTCTGCTCCCTCAAGTGGGGTGAGCACCTACACCCCAGCGCAGTCCAGCCATGGACACAGTGCAGCATCCTTTGCTTTTTCATGGGTACCAGGATGTCCCTTCTCAGGAGAGGAGAGGCTGGATGTATGCATCTCCCTCCACCTTTGCATTCACAAACAAAACCCAAGGACTCGTGATGTCCATCCTCTCCCTTCCCACAACCCAGCATCCCATGCCACGGAGCTGGGTACCACTGCCTGCTGTGAGACAGACACCACAGCATGGGCATGTGCCAGGCTCTGGGGCATGCTGCAGATGCCAATGCCGCTGATCTGGGGAGATGCATCCCGCCAGCAGCCTCTGTGGCACTGCGGGCATGCAGCAGGTTTCACAGACCACAGGAGGTTTGCGTAGGTGTCGTGCTGGCATGGGGGATGATCCCTCCATTCTGCCTATCACTCACACTTAGCCCTGCTCCTGCAAAAGTGTGCTTGTCAGCACCTCAGGCTAGGAGATAGGGGCTCCTTCTATGTCCCTCTTTGCAATCTGTATGTCAGGGGCTTGGCCGTGAGTCCAGGTCCCTGTTCTCCTGCCCCTCTGGAAGCCCCCGCTTCAGTGCAGGCACCAGCCCCCCCCACTCACTGGATCAAGGGAATCTTCCCCAGCTGTCACAGAGATGCAGGGTGACAGCCATCGTGCTTCCTTGGCACAAATTCATCACTGTATTGTTGGTGTAGCTATTGGGTAAGGCCATTTCTGCTCATTTCTCCTGCTGGCCTGGGCTGGGCTTGGGAGAGGCCATAGAAGGCAGCAAGGCTCCTTCCCATGGCTTGAGATCCCTCACGGTTGCCCTGGCCATTGAAATCCAGAGCCACCTCTGCTTAGGAACATGCACCCCATGGAAAAGCCCCAAATAACAAGCAGAGAGCAAGGACCTGGGCATGCAGGAGGTTAAAAAGCCACCAGCCTGGTGCAACAGAGCTGGTGCCCAGGAGGGACCGCAGCTGTGCCTCCTGGACCGAGGCTGCTCATCCCAGTGCTGTGGTCCAGGACACTCCATCACCTCTCCCAGCAAACAAACACCCCTGGTCTCCCTGGAGAGCAGAGACCTGGGGATGCTCAACCTCCAGTTCACACTCCAGTGCTGCTGAGAGCATCCCTGCCCCACCAGCCCAAGCTGTGGGTGGCAAGCGAGGGGGGATCACGGGCTCCACGGAGGTGGCCTGGGCTGGGAGTGGGGATGCAGCGCGGTAGGGCGGAGGGCAGCCTGTTTACCCGTCCATCTGCACACCCCACAGCGGGGATCCAGCAGGATTTCCCGTCCACTCAAAGGCTGCCTGTTTATTTTGGGAGGGAGACTCAGACAGCTCCATTGTTTTGCTGCAAAGTTGAGGTTATAAATAGCAGGTGGTCGGGGACACTCCTGGGCTATTTTGGGCCCCCACTACACAAAAGTGGAGCAGCTCCAAGAGGAAGGTGGAATTACTGAAATGCCGACCTTTCCCGCAAGGGTCAGCGGGATCTGGTTGTTTGGGTTTGGGTTGGGTTCTGGGCATTATTTAAATACATGGGAAGGAGAAGAGAGGAAGATGTTCCCAGTTGCATGGGCTGCACACCATGTCCTCCCCAGCTGAAAGGTGGCAGGGATGAGGAGCCGAGGTGCCGGGGGTCTGCCGGGGCTCTGCCCAGGAGCTGTTAGGAGCAGCTCAAGTCTGGAGGAAAGACCGTCAGGGTTTACCTCCTGGCTCTGCAAATTGGAGACTTCCCAGTGGATGAAGAAGCTGGGGAGGTCAGGGATGCCCCGTAGCACTGGTCTACCCCAGCTTGCCCCTGGTGCCTCAGTTTCCCCCACCTCCTGTAGGGAGGCTGAAGAAAAGGGCAGGTAATGTCCCAACGACAGCCCCGCTCCCACCAGGCACATGTGCTGTGTCCTGCTGGAAGGCAAGGATGAGCCAAGGTGACTCTCAAACTTCCTTCAGTCCCTTCCTCTCGTTAAATTCCTGTACCAGGCAGTTATACAGTGAGCAGCAGGGACCCAGTAAAGCCGCTCACACCAATGTTTTATACTTTGAGAAGGTCTATTCCTTTAATGGGGATTCATTTAACTGGGCTCTGCCATCGTTAGGAGCCATAAAATGGCACCTTTTGGCTCCTGATTGGAAGGCCACAGTGCACGCAGCCCCCTCGTATCCAGCGCCGGCTGCTTTATTGTGCATTACTGCCTCTCACTCGGATTTAACCAATTTGATCCATGTCTAATACATAAATAAATAATCCAGCAGGAGGGTTCACGTTAGATGACAACAGGCGGCTATAAAGCATGTTTCTCCCCGCCGGAGCCATCTGAGCCAGGCTCCGCACGCCCTCTCATGAGCAGAGCTGCTAATACAGCTGGGAGAGGGGGCCTGGAGACCCGCAGGCTTCTCTGTTTTATGGAAACTTCATTGTTTGCTTTAGAGTTTTATTTTATGTTAAATAGACGCTGTATATTCCTTACAGTGGGGGCAATAAAGTTTCTGAGCTGGAGGAAATTGGCTTCGGAGCAGGGAGTTAACCAGGGAAATGTGGCTGAGCAGGGAAGCAGCGGGGAGGATTTGGGGCAAGGAGGGTGTGAGGCAGTGCCCCGCTTCCAGAGTGGCCTCAGGGGCTCATCCCAGATCAGGATTGGGGTCTGCAAGCACCCCCAGATCTCACCCAGGGATGCTGCATCCCCAGGGGGCTCAGGACTCAGGTGGCTGCGGGGCCCAGAGCTGCTGGTGGTGTGGGGAGGGTGAGGGGCCCTGTCCCAGCCCAGGGCAGGGTGAGCAATCCCCGGGGACCAACGGACCGGCCATGCCGAGCATCCGGACCTGCTCCCTGCTATCCCCATCCCAGCGCCGCGGGGTCTCCTCCGCCTCCCAACCGCTGCGTGCCCATGGAGAATCGCTCTGCCCTTTTTGGGGGTCATCCCGACCCACCCAACTCCAGGGGTGCCAAGGGGGATGAAGATGGCTCTTCTTAATTTACTGTTATTAGTTAATAAGAACAGTGGGTAGTGCCGTGTCATCCATCTGCCCCAAGTCACACCGCCTGCACCGCAAACTGGGGAAGCCGGGGTTGCACAAGGTCAATCCCAAAATGTGGCGGTCGCTTCTCTCCCCAGAAGACTGGAAGGCCCACGGACAGAGCTGGGATGCTCACAGGCCAGTTGCTGCCTCACTGCAGAACAGAGCCAGTCTCTGCTCCAGAGAGCATGGGAAAGGGAGAGAAATGGGACTATACTGGGAGAAAATCCCCCAGTTTCAGACCTCAGCTAGGACAGGGCGCAGAGGATGCTGATGGCAGCTGACCAGAGTTAAAGCTTTCTCCCCTCTTTTCCTCCCCGCAGGCAAAAAGAAAGCAACTTTGTTTGACAGCCAGGCTCCGATCTGCCCCATCTGCCAGGTCCTCCTTCGCCCTGGGGAGTTGCAGGAGCACATGGAGCAGGAGCTGGAGAAGCTCACCCAGCTGAACATCAGGTAAGCAGCTCCCTGGGGTCCACCACTATCCCCGGTTAGCCAGCCGGGGCACCCACAGAGGAAGCAGAGGAACTGATGGTACCCACAGCTACCAGATATGGGAGATCTAGCGCTAGCCAGTGGGGCAGAAACATTTCCCTGCAGTTCACCTCAATGGTAAAACCAGGCAGAAATGCCTCCTGGAGGGCACAGACACCCCTTTCCCCAGGGATGTGTGTTTGGGAGAGCAGCTCTCACGTTGCTCACATCCCACGGTGGAGCAGGCCTGCAGCAACTGTGCGCACTGCCCCTCAGCTGCCTTCAGCTCCCTTCTGATCCCCCAAACAGCAAAGTCCCCTATTTAAAAAAAAATAATAATTGCATTTTAACTGCTAGCAGTTATTTAGGAAATGGCTGCAGCCAAGGGTTGGCAGATCTCTACCACTGCCTTAATAAAACTCAGCAGCCTTGGAAAAGAGCATGTTTATTTCAATTATTAATGAATTCCCCGGTCATTAAAAGGTGAGGAAAGGAATCAAACTGCCGACTAGAAGCAAAGTTACGTCACCAGGTGGTAGGAGAGGAGAGAGAGCATGTGTGTCAGTGTGTGTGTGTGTGTGTATGCACAGGGGCGAGGGGGTGCACGTGGCTGGGGGGGACACATGGTGTGGAGGATGCAGAATCCGTCCCTGCCTGGCTTGGATCTTCTTTGCGACAGAGCAATAGCTGCTGTAGATGAAGGGAGAAGGAGGGGGCTTTAGCTAGAGAAAGAGAGACCTCCCCAAATGGGTCTGGCCTGAGATCTCCCAAATTTGGCACCCACAGCCTCGGGCTGAGACCCTCATGCCCCCCATGTGTTTCACAGGAAGATGGAGAAGCGGGGTGGGGGTGGGGGGCAGGGAACAGGCAGCCCATTTATCCCCCACGACACCCAGTCCCCTTGTGAGCGTAATTTATGGTGTAATTTGGGCCGCATCCAACTTAATAAAGGGCCACTGCAAATTAGTGAACAGGTTTAAATGAACAGAAGCAATTAGTGCTCGGAGGAGCCCATCAAAGAAGTTGGGCCAATATCAGAGTGAAACTGAAACCGCAAGCCAGGAGCGGAGGCTGGCTGGCGCGAGGCGGTGATGGGAAGGTGGCGTTTAATGGGAAAGGAAAGGAAACCCTAAATCATAAAGCATGACAAGGGCCATTGTGGGCCAGCTGACAAATGAAAAAGAATGGCATTATTCCTTTAAATAACAGCAGCAGTTAGAGAGGAGACAGTTCTCCCCGGCTTGCCCTCGCTTCCCTGGCCCGCTCCACTCGGCCACGCAGGCGGCGAAGAAGAATCAGAGGTCTTTATTAATTATTAAATAACGACTCCCTCCGTAGCGTGATAGATAACGTTCAATCTAGTCGATGGATTCAGGCGATGAAGGCTAATCTGCAACAGCAGCTCTGCGCAGGGACAGTCTCTCCCAGTCCCGGAGGGGAGCGATGCAGGGGCCAGCCGACAGCAGCAGGCGGGATGGGCAGCAATAGTGGGCAGCGGGACACGAGTGGGTTGAGCTCCTGTGCACTGCCCGGCTCTGGCGGGGCCGCTCGGTCTAGCGGGTGGCCCCGTCTCCCATTCCCCCACCTTTCCCGCCTGGAGGAGCCAGGAGCAAGAACACATCAACAAGAGGAGAGAGAAACTAATAATGATCTCAAATAACCCAATAAACATAAAAATAAAATGTAGGCCTATAAACGTGACGGGCACCGGCAGCCCTGGCCGCTCCCTGCCAATACCGACTAGTTACCGAAATGGCTGAGCAGCTGTTACTTATCAGTCTGATGGGGAGAAGCAAACCAGGGGGCTGCTTTCCAAGGGCCGATTTTTTTTTTTTTTTTTTTTTTTTAATTTAAAGAGGTTACAGCCAATCCTGGGCTGTGCTGTTAAGTTTTAATAAACCTTAATGATTTGCAACAAAATCATAAATTTCCAGCGCTCGGGGTTAGGAAGGCAGATCCACTCCTGCCCGCTGAGCCTGCAGCACCGGAGACTTGGCAGGCGCCGCATCAGCTCCCACCGCGGCACCGGGGCTCCCCGTGTGCCAGGATCTCCCCTGAGGCAGCGTGGCCGTGGGGCTGTGTGGCAGGGTGAGCCCTGCAGAGGCTGGTGGAGAAGCAAGGTGAAGGGGCTGCCCCACGTCATCACGCCCGCCGGGCGTCAGGTGCTCACATCTTTGGGGCATTGCTCGGAGGAGAGCAGGGGAAGGGAAAGAGGAAAAGAGATTCCACCAGGTGATCACAGGAGCTTCTTGAGGCTGAGACACAAGGGAGCTGTAGGAGCCACCTGGATGATGCTACCCATCGTCCCAGCGCACCAGGAGCCCGGGGTTGCATCCCACCCACATCAATGCACCCCTCGCTCAGCCGGTGGGGACTGGGGTTTGCTATTCCCCAGGGACAGCCCTTCTTCCCCACGGGCAGTGCCGCTGTGACCGTCCTGGCCTCAGAGCAAGGACATCTCAAGGTCTACCCAGCTGGAGCATTATGTGGTGAGGCAGGAGGAGCCACACTGAGCCACAGGGCAGCACCCACCCGTGCCAAGGAGCTGTGCGTGCCCAGGGGATGAACACCGGCTATTAGACCGGTGATGAACATCACTCAGAAAGATCCAACCCTGGTGCAGGGTTAAGCTCTCCCTTGAAAAAGAGGACCTGAGCGGGAATGTGGGACCTGAGTTTCTAGCTCTGCTGCCTTCTTGGTGTGTCCAGTCACCCAAAGCACAGGGAGAGACCTGCTTGTACTCACCCCACGGCTCCCACACCCCATGCAGGTCTGGCCGAGCCCCACGCACAGCTCCATGCGGCGAGACAAGGTTCTCTGAATGCAAATTTCATTTCTGAGCCACTGGCGCTGTTTCAAGAGCCGGCAGCCTCCGAGCCCTTCTCGGTGTTACATATGTAACAGCCTCATTGAACTTGACATGTCAAATTCAGGCCATTTGTGCAAAATCTCCCTTTAATAATACCGTTTCATTTCGCTCAAATGAGACTTGAATGCATGTAAAATGGAAAAGGATATTTAAGCGCTAACATTAGGCAGATGTCTTGCCAGAGGCCGATTGAATATATGAGATTTTGAAGTGCTTAACACGTTTTCGGTGCTCCCTCTTAGAATATGTCACCTGGCTTTCTTTTTTTTCCCCCTCCTTTCTTTTTTCTCCCCCCTCCTTAAGTGAAGGGTATAAATTGAAAGAAAACAAAACTACAAGCCTTGCTTTTATGGGGCTTAACTCTTGCAAGGCAAGACTGTTGGTCTTCCTCCTCCACCGAGAAATTACCTAGTAGCTCACCTTCGCAGAGCACAAGCACAAAGCAGCAGAGAGCAGGAGGCGGGCGAGCGGCGGCCCCACGGCACTGAGCAGGAGGGATGCTCTCCCTGCTCTGCATGTACCGCTCAGAAAGCAAAAGGTGCCGATCCCCAGCTGAGCAGCTAAGTGCCACCAAGGTAAAAATAAGAAATAATAACAGCGACCCTCTGTGTACGCCAATGCCCTGTGCCCCAGCCAGGCTGGTCACTGTGGAATGTATGAATATTCCTGGCTTGTGTGCATGAAGCTCATCCGTGCGCTAGGTGCAAGTCTCCTATCCTCACTCGATTTATATTCACCTGTTTTACACCTCATCCGTATTAAAGGCTTGCAACAAAGCACACTGAAAAGTGAGACTCTTTCTGGAGCTGTCAGTGGCCCCAAATCCAAGCTTTGGCTGGTGCTTCGGCTGCATACACATTTCCCCAGCTCAGGGCCACCCGGGGAGTGCAGGCAGGCACCACATTTGAGAGCAGCACCCATGGGTGTCCCTCAGGACAGGCGCACACACACACATCCCCGCGTGCATACGAGTGTATCACTGCGTATGTCACCGCAGGCAAATACAATGAGTGGAGGTGGTGGTGTGCAGGGGGACCCTTAAACCCTGCCCGCCACTCCCCAGGCAGTGACCAGAGAGGACAACCTGCTGAGTTGCTGATGGGGAAGGCTGGGTGGAGAAGGGGCAGGTTTGGGGCTATGGTTTGAGTTTGGGGTGGGAGGGAAGACGAGTTTGAGGACAGATGAGGAGTAAAGGAGGGAGCCAGCCTCAGCTGATGGTCCCCAGTGGGTCCACAGTGCTTTCCACACTTTGGGGAAGAGGCATTTATTTTTTTCTTAAAAATCGTTGGGAAGTTACATTACAAATATTACAGTCGCTGAGTCAAGCCCTTAAAGGCTGGGAATGTGCCTCTGGATGCAGAAGTTGTAATAACATGATGCTCTGTTCTTAAATATGCAGTGCTCTTTTTAAAAATATTAATTGGCGGGGGGCATTTTTACTCCCCTGTGTGACAGCCAGCAGATTCCTCCCTGCATTACCAGCAGCAAACCTGTGCTTCAGAACTGTGATTTCGCCTCCCCAAAAGGACGAGGTGTATCATTATAGCTGAGAAATGGAGGGTGAAGCAGTGAACTGGACCATTCCGGGTCCATTCCTGCTTTTGCAGCTGAAGGACGGTGCGAGCTCAGACAGGACTATCTCAGCTCTTTCCCCTTATTTAAATGAAGTTTCTAAGCTTAGCAGATGTAGCCAGCAGTATCCTCATGCCATGTTGCAATATTACCTGTGTGCTGTGCCATCCCAGGGCTGGGCACAGTGGTGCAACAGCCAGCCAGGGTGCTCGGTGGGTGCCCCCGGGATGGATGTGCTTGGGTGGGCAGATGGGGGGGAATGCTGTTCTCACAGTGCCCCACGGCTGTGCAAACTCTCCCCTTCTTCACTTTTCTTCCTTACTTTCCTCCGCATTGAATACTTAATCTGAGCATATTTGTGTTTTAAAGCCCATGCCCATTTGTTGGCTATTCCCATCCTGGGCTAGCAGCTCTCATTGCTCCTTGCCACTGTGCTGGGAGAGTGGAGACACATCCCTGCGCACCCAGCATCTCAGGAGCTACTGATTCCCCATAATGACCTTTCTGGTGTGTCTGGGAATAATTTCTCTTCCGATTCTCT